GCTTCCTCGACCTGCATCGGTGCCGCTTCCTCGTTCTGGCGACGGCTTCGTCGGTCTTCAGCTCCGCCACCTACATCCTGAAGGAGTACGATCTCGTGGCTGGTATGGATCTGAACGCCCACCTACATCCCTGATCTGACTGCTACGAATTCTCTGAGGTATGCTAGCTGAAACACCACTGTAGTGATGCAGGGGCGGGGACAGGGAGAGGCCAGCAGGGGTTCCCCTGCTAATCGCTCGCTCCCTCAACCATTCGTAGCACAGTGTGTACTGTAGATGCCTAATGGCCGCGGCTAATTGCTATAGTTTTGCGATGTGCCAATGCCTAATCCACTAATCAGGTCGATCCATTGATATACATGCGTGTTCTACATTTCTGCTAGATAGATCCATTGACTATTGTTTAAATTTGATCAGACTTCTTGAGAAACTAGAAGCAAACGGCGTGCTTTGCTACGCCCGCTCAAAGCTTTTTAACATGTCTAGTTTGCAATCTGGGCACACGAAACAAACCTGGGCTCATTTGGCTCCTTTGCCATTTTCTTTGATGCCCTAAGACTATCATGATCAAACCCAACTCTGCTCTTCGATTCGATGAAGCCTATCTACTGTAACAGTTTCGCCTCCGTAAATTGAACCATTAGGATAAAAAATGACTGAAATTACGAACAGAGAAAATGCTTAAGATTTGCACCATCACCTGATGATCCTATGTACTTTCAGTTTCCCTTCTGTTTAGGGAAGCAGTGAACATCATCAGGTCCTGTACACTTTTCAACATAAACCTGTGCTGAATCCATATGTCGACAGCGTTATATCTTAGTGTGCGTGTGGCTGGACCCATGGTCTTGTACCTCATCTCTCTGTTTTAAGTTATGATAAGCTGACAGTGCATTGACGTGCTACTGTGTACTTCTCTGCCCTCTCCATTCACATGTCTATAGGCAAATTAAATTGTCCCTGTTATGTCATTAGTTAATTTGTCTTTACTTGTAATAATTTAATTGACATTTTTATATATAACATAGGATGGCGACGGACATGTTGACCATATACCTGCACTATGAAGATACAAATCAGGAAGCCAAAATTTTACGAAGATCCATGATGAGAAGTGATGTCTCGTATTACGACTTAATCTTGATGATCGAAGAAGTTGGCTTTCAGGCAATTGACTTTCTGAACTATGCGAAAAAAACACGTCTAGGCAGGTCCTACTTAGTTCACATTTATGATGAAGGTCTTGTGATGAAAATGTTGCCCGACCCTGAGATTGTGAAAGCTGTCCATCTGTATGTGTCTAAGGAGAAGGCTGACGATCAAATTGCTCCGCCTAGCAAGCAAATTGATGTTGCTCCATCTAACCATCCAAATGAGAGTGTTCTCTTACAGGACGGTGGTGTCTCTGCTGAAGAGGCAGGGCAACTTACTATGCAAGGGCCACAAAGTATCTCTCTTGAACCATGCTTATTACATATCTGTATCTACTGTTGTAATTATTGGAATAAAAGATGTATGGTTGTTCTGCAGGACCACCACGTAGGTCAAAAAGGTTGAATGTGATTCAGGTTACGGACCAACGTGATGATGAAGATGGAGACTGCAACAATGGTGAGCAATTCCCACAAGGTCATGAATCACAAGCATTGGTCGATGAAGAGTGTCAAGTTCACAATCAAGGTAACAACCTATTACATTTTGTGCTTCTATTAATTAACTTGTATATGCTTAGTATCGAAAGAATAATCATCGGGCGTCATTTCATTAGTACTTTTCTTAATTAATCTTGTAGTAGACAAGGAAGTACGCAAGTGCAAGAGAACAAGCTTGCCAATTGTCTGGAACATGCCAAAGGGGCAGAGAATAGTTGTGAAATGCAATGAAGATAGCCAGCCTATAGGAGATGAAGGTGCAATCTTGGGGAAGTTTCTGGGCACGATTGCTAGAAATGGAGGGTTTTGCCCACTAAACATAAATGATTGGCGTCATGTCAAAAAGAATAGTGGTGAGGAAACAATATTGCAGTGCGTACAGGTACTTCACAATTAACAAGAAAACAAAATATGTTATTTGCTGCCCTTCTATTTATATCTAATTTGTCTACATGAGATGTAGTGTGGTCTGCATGTCTATTTACATCCATTAATTATTTTGTACTTTCAGACAAAGTTTGTGTATCCTCGATCATGTGAAAAATGGATACTCAAATCAATTGGAAGAGACTGGAGGAAATTTAAGTCTAGTTTGAAAGATGCTTTCTTCAAACCCGCCATTGAAAAAAAATCCAAACATCAAGCGAAAGGCTTTGTATAAGCTCTGTCCAGAAGATGTGGACAACGATCAATGGCGTGGGCTTGTTAAATATTGGAAGTCCAAAAAGGAAGGGTAATGAATGAGATACTGTACTTTCCTGTTTTGACATTTAAATGTGAGTTCTCGGGCTTATCTTAAAATTTGCTTTTACGATATGATTACATCATAACAGGCCCTTGCTGAGAAGAACATAATTAGTCGTTCCCTCGTGAAGGATTCACCTAATGCTGGCACAAAGAGTTATGCTTGTTGGGGTGAAGACAAGGTGAGAAGTCTTGATTCCTGAAGTGTTTTCCTGTGTCTCTTTTGTCATATGGGTGCTGTTTCTGTTTTGTAGAGGCAAGCTGATCCTGAAAAGAAACGACCACACAGATCAAAGGTTTATTTAGCAACTCACAAGAAGAAGGACGATGCTGATGCTAAAAATAAAGATAGAAATAAGCGCCTGGTAGGCAATTAATATAGAAATTGTCTAATTGTTCTCGGGATCAAGTTATGGTTCAATCTAACTAGTGTATGCATGATTCTTTTCTTATAGGATCGATTGGAGAATCTAATAACCGAACGACCAGAGTTGGCACAAAATTTGAATGGAAGAGTCGCATGGGAAGGTGATGCCCTGTACGAAGTGTTAGGGAAAGAAAAGATTGGACAAGTGCATGGTATGGGTTTGCTTCCAAGTCCTAAGCAAGTCTACGGTCGGACGCCACGGTATCTAAAGAACATCAATATGACTACAACTGATGGATCACCATATGAAGTTGAACATGACGTTTGGGAGGTAATAGCAAAGATGAAGGAGCATATAAAAAAGCAAGACCAGATAATTGAAGATATGAATAACAAAGAAGGCTATGTCAATAATGGTATAGAAGAGGTATAGGACTTCTTTATCCCACCCTTTGCATGCATTTCTATCAATAATTTACTCAGATTTGTTAGTTCTGTAGGAAAACCTCCAATCAAATGATAATGGTATTTCTCGGTCACCAGTACTGCTTGGTAAAACAAAGGTAATGTTAATAAATGCCTACATTATTGCTTGTCACTTGAAACCTTCATATTAATATTTCAGTTTGCAGAGAATCCAGTGCAATGGACCCGTTGAGGCACGATCGTCTATGCAACATGACATTCCTGAGGATAATAATTTGTCACGTTCGCACGAAAAGGTTATGCCTGTAGTTACTCTTACTCATGTCACAAAGATAGAATATAAAATAATTTCTTGCTTACCATTGTTGTGTCATGGAACTAGGTTGGCGACCATGATGTCAACCAATTAAAAATTCAACAAATTTCATCATCTCCACAACACCTTGTTATTGATTCTGTGCTAGAGGTAATTTTCGTGCCTTTTGAGTTTTGAAGCTGTAGCTTTCTGTAGCTTCAAGGTATGAATATCATTCCAACTAATATTATTGTATCATGGTAGGTGAGGGAAACGAGGAATATTACGGGTGAATCTGTTTCAACACCGAACCAGCAAAGGACTAGAACTGAACACCCACACCGCTCAAAAAGAAGGCGTTCTTCTTCCATCAAGGTAAAGATTCACCAAGTAGCATGGTTTACTGCACCCAAATTACCAACCCAAACCCTCATTATCATGCCTGCTTGAAAAATGGATTTTATTACAATTTTTGCTCAATCTGCTCTATGCAAGTAAACGATAAATTTAACCAAGCATGAGCTAGCGAGTTGACCTTGGGCATTATACTTTTTTGCCAGGTCTAGTTTATTTAGTTTCTTAAGGCAACATTCTGGGTTGACACTAAAAAGATCTCATATTATTCATGCAAATTATGTTATCATGTCATATAATGCTATTATTGATCATAATATAGGCTGCTTCCAAAGTAGTCTTGAAGACTTCAACATATCCCAACAAGCGGAATGTTGCGTATGGTACTATTCGGAGTACTGATCCAAGAACTAAGGCTAGTGGTATTGAGTTAGGTGCTGAATTTGCTCTTGTGCGCATAGATGATCCTATTCTTGATAATGAGGAGTTGGTAAGGGAAGTTTCTGATTGCAAGACAATTGGCGAGGCTTTCACTTCAGGATACTTAATTGCCTGGCCTTCAGCTTTTGTAAGTTACAATGTTCCCTTCCACATTCTGAAATCATATTTGCGTACATTTAATCACACATATCTAAGGTGCAATTTTCTTCTACAGATTCGAGAGAAGGATGGTTGATTTGCAGCTGAATTCTAGGATCAATAAGAAAATAAAATTTGAAGATTTTAGCTACCAATAGTTGTAGTTTACATTGATAGATTTAGAAGTGTAATATCATCCTGAAGATCTTTTTCTTTCATCGAATTGATGCAAATGCGACAGTGTAATATTACCCATAGTTTTGTTTTCTATCCTCAAAATTATATGACTGATATCTTTATTGTAATGCATATGTATCATACACTCTTCTATATTTGTAATAAATATCTTCGTCCGAATTTCTGTATGTGTTCTGCTTCAATTTAAATATCATTCTGATATGCTGCCAAGCATAATAATAGAATGATTAACAATTTATGCAATTGCATTGATTTTATTATATAATTTTATATTCCATAAAATGGGTATCCAATTCTGTGGTTACTAATAAAAACAAATAAATTAATTATGTTACCATATTGATATAGTAGTGCTACTGATGGTGTTACTATAGCTACAAAATTTGTTACTAGAGTAGTTGACAACTATAATTATAGTGTTACGATACATGGATATTACGTTACTAGTTGTGTTCCGATGTTAAAAAAATGTGTTACCAGTTGTGTTACGATAGTTACAGAAACATGTTACCACCAATGTTCTACGTCTATCAAAATATGTTACTATCGGTGTTACTATAATTACAAAAGTGTGTTACCGGTGTGTTCGGTAACACATAACACACGTGTTACTATAATGCAACTGTAACACATTTTTTAACATATGGTAACAATTATTATGTGTGACAGTTGACACCACTTAGTAACACGGTCTAATGGAACACATTTGAAACTGTGTTACTATATGGCCTAGTAACACACTTTTGGACCTGTAGTAACACAAGACGGTGTTACCAAAGGTCTGTCTTCTTGCAGTGCAACTTCCGCGATGTGTTGACCGTTACGACTGTGGAGGATGTCGGTCGGCTTGCAACCTTCGGATTCTTCTCCAGTCTCACCGTCTATATCACTATCGTTGTGACTACGGAAAAACGTTGACTATCATGGTTAGTTAGAATAAATAGGATAGCGTAGGATTTATTCTACCTTGTCTTTTACTCCAAGATGATCATGTACTCCTATATATATACCCACGTGGCTCAAGTAATAAACAAAAATTCCACCAATCTGTCTCTATTCCCTTTTATAATCCCACTTGTCTTCGTTTGGTGAACGTGAATTTTTGTTTGATGCTCGAGATTCAACTAGGGGTCCTCTCGATTTTGGTGGTGGTGTTGCATGTAACGTACACACTCATTTCACGTCGTTCGACCGAACTAATACAAACTCTAGCACACTCGTTGCACTGATTATTTCAAGATGTATGAAGTGCACCCATGGATTCAGTTGTCTCGCATCCCAGCACTTCAATCTGAATGTAGCGCTCTGTCTCATGTCTGCCAACTTTCACCTTCATCATATCTCTTGGACAGAGTTTTCTGTACTTGTAGCGGCGATCAGCACCAAGGATTGATCCGCCAATTTTGTCATCTTAAACAACTGGGTTCTATCGCTGAATATGTTGATGAGTTTGATAAGACCATGAAACAACTCCTTGCTTATGATAAAGATGTGGATCCGATTTTTTTGTACTGTTATTCTTCTTTATCGTCCCCGGACATGGGAACTGTTGTTACTCTTGCATTATAGGAAGACGTCGGCGAGGTCCACAAGTACGATCCCGGCCCCCACCAGCAGGCAGCTACACCCGCAATTCCGCTCCCACTGCATCCTCCTCCAACGCCTCGGCCGGCACCCGCAGCCTCCGTCGAAGATAAACAAGGTGTGGAATCATCATGGCTGTGGAAGGGTGACAATGTGGCCACTCCGCTCGCATTCCACCACACGTGAGGCCTTTGTTTCACTTGCGGCAATAAGTTGGGTCCAGATCACCGGTGCACAACCACGGTACAAATTCATGTTGTTGATGTACTACATAGCATTTTCCCTGACGAGTCACTCTCTGAGACCCCTGAAGACACACCGATTGCCTCACCACCGCGTAGTTTGTTGTCCATCTCATATAAGGCTATCACCGGCATCACTTGTCCCACCACTGTGCACTTGGTTGGCTTGTCGAAGGGCGTAAAGTACTTATGCTTGGTGACTCAGGGAGCAGGCACACCTTCCTAACCTTCACCATTGGCGCAAGAATGAAGGGGGGCAAGTACATGAGATCATCTGTCTGAGGTGATGGTCGCCTATGGCAGCGGGCTGCAATGATCACAATAAATTCCTGATTGCGAGTGGAGACTCCATGGGCAAGTATTCCATACTCCTATGTCCTAAGATGCTATGAAATCATCCACAGAATGGACTAGCTCATCGCCATCAACCCATGAAAAGTTGATTGGGTTGAGAAAACTCTAGCCATGAGAATGGAACATGGAGAAGTTCATGGTTCATGGCATATACCATACAGCATCTAGCTACAACATCAACACCAACGATGACCTGACTGTTCTACGCCTCGAGTGGCACTGGAGGAGCTCATCGAGCGCACTGTCATACCAACTGCAGTAGACATATACTAGAAACCATGTGTGCATTCCCAGTAAACTTTAATGCCGTTTTTTAAGAAGTCCAAGGGATTCTACATCATTGTGAGTGCGATCACGGCATACCTCTTCTTCGAGGACGCAAGCCGGTTCCACTAAAATCTAATTCGCTGAGGTCAAGAACAATGCCAAGAACTGGTTGCTGAATTTTTGGTGTCCGACGCAAAATGCTAGAGGAAATTCTTCTTACTTGTCTTAGTTGTCAATGTTTTTGTACCCAGACTATTGATAAATAACATTTTTCTCACTTAATATTATCAACTGTTCTGATGTACTTTTACACATGAAATGATATTTTTTTCCTAAAAGATTGTTGTGTTTATGGGCTCTGTTGATCATATTCAATTTCAAAACCCAGAGCAGCAATGTCTTATTATTGTTATTATTTTAGTTTACTGTTACTTAACCTCGATACCATGGCAATGAATCATCCACTATAATATGTTTATAGTATTTAACACTATATATATATATATATATATATATATATATAGATATATATATATATGTATATACATCAACAAATTATGATCCTATTGGGAAAATTGATAGGCGCAGCTATGCGTGCCTTCAGTGATCTAGTTGGAAATAAATGTATACCAATTTATTCTTTTTGAAACACAATTCACACACATACACACACACGTGCGCGCGTGCCCACACACGCACACCCGCACACATACACACACACACATACACACCACCTCCACCACCAACAACAACTACTACTACAACAACAACCGACCCTTGTGAGGACCTCCGAGATTCTGAGCCGGCAAATCATGAGATAGAGGAAATCGCCATAGACACCTCATAGTTGAGGGGCACATGATATAGCTTTACTTCACAAAGGCTCACACAACACTGTGAAAATCATAATTATGGAGACAAAACTGGTAGAAATAGGCAATGGCACCTTTACAGGCCTACCTTTAAAGAAGAATTTGTTTTCCGGCAAACATTATTTAAAGTAAAATGAAGACATGACATTATTTAGTAGTAGCGCGGGGCAAAAGAAGCACTACTGGTTGGCCATAGTAATAGCTGCGAGTAAGTGGTCCAAAACATATAATATAATAGCATAGAGAACAATCAAAAATTATAGATACGTTGGAGACATATCACTCGACACGGTCTTTTCTTGGTTGCCTATGGTGTTGCTGTGGCCACAATCGATTTCTAATCCGTCATTAAAGTAACCGCCGCTGTAGCCGTCCGCAACAAGGGCGTCATCCCTCAACTTCTCGTGCTCTGCCGCTACAGGAAAGGGAGCTTGAGCGTCTGGATAAGATGAAACAGAGGATTCAAAGCTGCAATTCGTGTAGATCTAGGGGTTTTTGTAAAAATGATGTGTTTTTCAGACCCACTTAAAATAGGACCGCAGGTTTAATTATCAGAAACAGAGACTTTTCGGCAAAATGACGACGATGTGGGACCAGAATGATAGCCTCTTTATTATTATTATCATCATCATCATCATCATCATTATGATTATCATCATCATCATCATCATTATTATTATTACTACTATTATTATTATTATTATTAGGTAAAGATGACGACTATCCTCCTTGTGTGCTAGCGAAAACAAAGATAAATTCCAGTGAATACTCATTATTGTCCTCATAAAATAGAAAAAGCAATGGACTATACACGTATAGATGAACATAATTTTGTCGGTAATTTTATTCTCTAGAACACCTAGGATTTGGACTCTCCAAAGATGAAAAATATTCTTAGGTCTTTAGTTACTACGACCGAAATTTTGGCCGGTCGCGGTCCCAGCCGCTCGACTCAGCCGCTCCCCACATTTCGATTTGGATCCCGTTGCGTCGTCTTCTTCCTCCCCTCATGCCGGCGGCCGTCGGCCACGT